TATTAGGGATTATGGGATTGGGATCGGTATGTACCGAAATACCGAACAATACCGAAAATAAAGCTAGTGCATATTTATTCTCTCAACTAGACTCTCTCATTCACTAATACACAACACAACCCTCAACCATCAAGAGTGTCGTTTAGTTATACATAGATCATTCCATCACTACTTCGCAACTTAGAGAAGTTCTCATCCAACTCAATTTTGACTTTCCAATTTAAGCCACTCTCGTCTCTCACCTAATCTCTTGTTATTTTTATAACACCAAAAAGCATACACTAGTATTAGTCATCTCTCATCCTCCGATTCGTCAAATTAAAGATTACCAATGAAAGAACTTGAGATGTCACCTCTCCACCATTCTCCTTATCGATATACTAGCTCTAGGAAAATTCAAAACTCTTTGCTTAGTTTCTTTACCCTATATTAAACAATCCAATCTAATTTATATATTTAATTATTAATTACAAAAGTAATTAATTTCATATTCGATAATACCGATTGGGATACCGAAATATTTAGGGATTGGGATACCGAAATTATTTAAGGATTGAGATTGATTTTAGGGTGTAATTCGGTATTCGGGATATCGGTATTTGGTATTGGGTAGACCTAGCAAATTATAACCCGACCCGTTGACCCGACCTAAACCGCCCGAAAACTAGAATTTTTTGTAACCCGAAATCCGAATGACCCGAACCCGATAACCCGTGATTTTTTGGGTCGGGTTGGGTGGGTTAGCGGGTCGACCCGTTAGACCCGTTCCATTTAATATATTACTCCCAAAATATGATAAAATCACTCATAAATTGGTGAGATGTTTAAAAAAAATCACAAGGATTTGAATGACATGTTTGGAGTTTAAGGGTAATCAAATATCAAGTGTTTCTTGTATTAGTATTACTCTTGTGATTGTTTTTTGACGATTTGCGCAATTTATATTTCATTTCATTAGCGTGGGAGGATTTGAGAATATGTTAATTGACATGTGTTAGGTAAACTATTGTCATGCATATGTGAAAATTTGTGTTCTTTAAGAAAATATGAAGCATGTTTGATATTGTTTCTGAGAACGCTCATAACCCGAAATGACCCGTAACCCGACCCGAAACCGAATGGGTTGGGTCAATATTTGACCCGAAATAAGTCAAGTAAACATGACTCGACCCGTAACCGAAGTTCCCAACCTGAAATTACCCAACCCGACCAGATTGTCAGGTCTAGTATTGGGATACCGATACTGTACTGATTTCCACCCCTAGAGAGAACAACATTGGACCCTGGGGGCTCAATCCAATTCGAGGTTAATCATAGAGGTGTGAACTGTCTCTAGAGTTGAGCTTATGAGAATTATATATGGTTCATGTTATTTGTTGATAAATTGATGTCAAACCGCGGATCAACCACCAACTACTACCCTTACTTCCAAGACAGTGTGGGGTGAGTATCCAAAGATTTTGTAGTTGTTATAGTTCAAATCAGCTCAACCTCAATTGAAGAGTTACAATCACAATGAATGCATCAAGATGGGCATCTCAACACTGACACTCATTTCGTAATGAACATGACTAAGGTGGTAATTGTCGGGGGCATGACTCGGTTCCATCCGCTTCAACGGGCACACACTCACCATCCTGAGAAAGACAAGAAAAGGCTAAGGAAAAGAGCGGCTCAAACACTCCAACTCGCGAAAACCATCATTCTACGAGTACCCAAAGAAGGCGCGCCAGAAAGCGGCGCGACGCGGAGAACATCATCTCCCCAGACGGACATGGCTGACCGCGTCGGTCGCCAAGAGAGGCATCCGCGCGACAACACTACCCGCGCATAATGAGTAGAGACGACACCATATTACTGACAAAGCTGTCACGCCTTACTTATAGACCTCATCATACTCTAACCTTCTGTCTCTTCCAAATGTCATGTCACCTCGGAAACCCACCCACCGGAAGGTAGCCTATAAATAGAGCATTTACCCCAGTGGGTGAGGGGGGGGGGGGTCGATTTCTGAATTCTCTCCCTAGAAAACAAGAAACTTCTCTCTCTAAGATTGATTCTAAGCTCTCTCTCGAGCCTTCTCCCTTGTTATCTCAGAAAAGGTTAAAGGATAAGAGCGGAAATTCTTCTACCTTCACTCGCACACCATTCTTCATGTGTCTCACTCCTACATTCAGTTAGACATAGGGATGGCAATCAAACCCATGGCCGCGGATATCCGACCGCCCCCGACCCAGTCAACGCGGGGAATCCCCGCTTTGACCGGGTATGGGTAAAACCCGCAAAAAGTTTGATGGGTATGGGGCGGGTATGGTTTTAACCTCCCCCGCCCCATACCCATCCCCATACCCGCCCCACCAAGATAATTTCTTCATATATAAAAAAAATATGTGCATCAAATTATAATCTATCAATGACGATGAGGAGAACTTGAGAAAATAAATAGTAGAAATGCAATTGATTGACCACCTTAATCAGAATCTCATTTCTCTCAATTCTCATTTCACTCTTTCACTTTCCCCCCTTGTCAACAAGATTATGTTAGTTAATTATTATTTAGTAGATGTATCAGAGTTAGAACATAATAATTTGAAAAATATTATACTCTATATTATGTATTAATGGATATTTTAGGATCATAATCTTTGAACCATATTGAAAAAATGACCGTGTTTTATTGACTTCATGATATAATATGTTCGTTTAGAATTATAATTAGAAATTTTCTTGTAAGTTTTAGGTATAATAATGTTGGATGTACGGGTATGGCTATTACCCATGGGTACCCAAAACCCACGGGTATGGGGATGGGTTTGCAAAGCATTCCCCCGCATGGGTATGGGGCGGGTATGGATTTGGGTATTTGAAGATGGGTATGGGGATGGTTTAAGCAAACCCGCCCCAAACCCGCCCCATTGTCATCTCTAGTTAGACACAAACAGTAATACCCATGCACAATACATCTACCTCATTATGAAATGCAATTAACAAAAAAAAAGTGTATATAATATTGATATTCATACATGAAAGAACAATTTAAAACGCAACTAATGAACCCCAATTAGGCAATTATTTGAAAGAAGGGGCACTGACATTAAATCGTAGCTAAATAAAGAGAGTTGTAAGTTATAACAAGATTGCAATACATTTTGTATTTTGTAGCATTTTCAGGAAAATACGGTTTCGAAGTGGACATTCTCAATCCAACACATATATAGTCCTCTTTCCTTAGGAGATTCATATTGGGTGCCGTGTAGTGAGAACCCAAAGAAAGGTTTGATAGAAATACATATATAGATACCGTCAACATCACGCAATTGCACATATACAACAAATTGAGTAGGGATATTTGGCCATTTTGGTTCAAGAAGATCAAAAGATACCAAAACTAATTCGTTGGTCATGTTGATATTTGCATAATCTTTTTAGATTGTGATTGATGGGAACTAAAGATACATCAATATATACGATCATATATATATTGATACATGGTGATATTTTGTTAGGCCAAAAAATCCAAATAGAAAAGAGTGCTATGCTATATATGGACATCGACGACCCTTTTTCCATTGGATTTGCTAGGTATACGAGTAGGTGTGTGATCATCATGAGATTTTTAGTGAGCTAGTACACGACTCCAACCTATAGGAAGCTACTAAACAAACCCAGGGTTGGACCAATGACGTTTTACGGGTGTTTTGTGACACCCTTAAAATTTGTCAGAAAATAAACGCTTTTCATGTAGTAGTTCGAGTCGAGGGTGGAGGGAAACCCATTATTTTTTCTAGGGTGTCTGATGCAGCCTTAACACAAAAATAATAGATGATAGTCTTTGTGATTCGAACACTCATAATACGATAACTATTAGAAAAAATATTATCGATTACATTGCGGAAAATTTGTTGTTATGTTTAAACCGTAAATGTAATTAATAATCCAAAACAAGGTCTAATTGAACTATAATTTCGCCAAATTTTCATCCAAAACTGAAAACTAATTTTTCCAATTCTCTACCCTTCTGATATTTGACGGAACCTGCATCACTATCAAGTTGAATTGTTTTACTCGGTTCTTGATATGCAGCTGCAAGAGTTGAACCACCGCTTTTTATGATGTGAATACTAGATTGTTGACTTGTATGACCTATCTTAGTCCGGAGAATGAGTTTGTTATTGCTTTTGAAAAGAAGGGAATAATACGACTTAAATCGATTTTATCCTAACGAATTTGCTCACCTCTCTTACTCATTTCTTCCACGACACTTTGGGAGTGTTATTATTCTTTGTCAAGAATGACGATTTATTTCTTCGATTCAAATTGACCAATCAGCTTAGTTAATTATGAAAACAAAAGTGAGTACATCATATATTCTCGAATGATAGACTAGATATCTAGACTAGTTGATGTATACGTCGATATAAGTTGTCACATAAAATAAAAATAAAAAACTTCTAACGTGAGTAAATGGACTTTGATTCCATCACAAATTAAAGTTGATTAATTTTCCCAGTGTACGAATTGTAGGAGCCCATGACTCTTTCTGAACAGCCCATGAATCGTTCATGAGTTCCTGACTGAATATTTATTTATTTATTTTTGAAGTGCCTGAATTTCAGATTCTAGAAGAGGAGGGAAAATAGAAATAATAGCAAAAACAAAAAAACAAAAATAAGAATAAAAGGATCATGATCGAAGAATATCTCCCTCTTATTTTTCCGCCGAAATTAAAATGGTGAGTGGATCTACTCTGCTTGCTGCTCATTATTCATTATTATATTTATCTCGCAAAACGAATATCACGAAAATATTTTGGTTGTGATGTGATATTATTTCGCATAACAATTTAACAAACCTTTTTTTAGGTCTCTGCAGCTGTTATTATTATTATGGAGTTTCAACCAAACTAAAGAAACCCGAAGATCTCTCTTCCATCTCTTCGTCTACCCATCTCTCTCTCTCTCTCTCTATCTATATATACGCACGCACGCACACACACAAGAGATCGAAATGCAAATTCCGTATCGCCAGTTGCCTCTTTTTCACCTCCATTCCTATCCTCCGCCGATCAATCTTTTCTTCCACCAAAAGACGTAGATAATTATTCACCGGCAGGCGCAAATTATTTACCATGGGCGGACTAGCCGCCGCCGGATGCACGGGAAACTCAATGGATGCTCGTGAAAGTAAAAATAGTAATGCGGCGGCGGCGGCGGCGCCGGTGGTACATGTTTTGGCGGTGGATGACAACCTCGTCGAACGGAAGCTCCTCGAACGCCTCCTTAAGAACGTCTCCACTTCTTGCACCGGTAAATTCCTATTGATGTTATTCTCTTCCATTAAAATGCAAAAAAAAAAGAGTACAAAATCTCACGATACTTTTTTATTCGCTATTTATATTACCATACTTGTTAAAGAAATCATATAATTTGTTAGGACTTATCTTTAAAATATTTTTTTTTTCTTTTAACCCACATTATTTTTTTTTTTACTGTCAATTATTTCCTCTTTCGCTAGTACTTACCTTTCGACTTATTCCACCAAATACCTTATGGATACTACTAAACTTCTTCTAAAGTGTAGGAGTCTTACGGTGAACCCGATCGTATCCCACTAAACCCTTCACCCTTTATATATACTAATTATATAAAATGAGAAATATTCATATTTCTTAATGGAATCCTCTGTTTGTGATTGAGCTTGTGATAATCAGTTTTATTAATGATTTTGGTGGTGTGGCTAAAAATGGGATTTCATCAGTTACAACGGCTGAGAATGGGATGAAGGCATTGGAGTATTTGGGGCTGGATGATCAGCAGCAAGACCACTCTACTATTACTACCACTAATGCAGCCATCAAAGTATGAACTTACTCTGTTAATATAAATATTTTGTCATTGCTAATCACTTTATCTACTCAATAAACCACTAGTTAATTATGACTAACAAAGTCTTGCTTGTTGATCTTCAAACTGCAGCAGCAGCAGCAGAAGCAGGTGGATTTGATAATCACTGATTACTGTATGCCCGGGATGACAGGGTATCAGCTCCTCAAGAGGATTAAGGAATCGAAGGTGTTGAAGGAAGTCCCAGTTGTGGTTATGTCATCTGAGAATATCCCAACCCGGGTCAACCAGTAAGCTTCTAATTTCGGGTTGGGTAGTTTTTTAATTACGTCATCAGATCAATGTACTTGATTAATTGACACTAATTGAGCAGGTGCTTGAAGGAAGGGGCAGAGATGTTCATGTTGAAGCCTCTTAAGCAAGCAGATGTCAACAAGCTGATAATGACCACCCACAAATGCTAAGCTAGCTAGCTTGGTTAATTAGCGGCTTCTCATCATTTTTTTCAATAATGAATTGTAATCTTCTCTTCTCCACCCCCCAGGATCTCTTTGAATAGGTAGGTTTATGTTAAGCTCTGTTGGCCAAACCGGTCAAGGATCCAAAGGATCCAATCGGTCAAAAGACCACAGTATATAACCATTCAAATTTTGCAGCAGAATTTCCAAGGGAAAATAAAGAACTAGATTTCTTCTCTCTCAATTGTGCTACGTACATGTGTCCACCAATCATGCTTGGGCCAAATTAGATAGGGTTAGTATGTTGTGATTAAAAACCTCACAAGCAAAATGTAAAGTCCTCGCTTGGATTAGGAATTTTTATGAGAGATTTTGACAAAATAAATCACGCAATTGGATTCTAACAAAATTTCTCGATTGGGAAGATAGAAATATTTCTACATAAGAGATTTAAAAAAACTCTCGATTGTAGGTTTTTGAAATAGTTTATCCCCAAAATGATTTCACAATCATTGACTTTTTTATTTCTTCATTGCTTTGGTTCTAGTTTGATAGCCGTCTCGCTTTCAAGAGATTGATTGAGAAAAGGAAAATGACAATATATAGGACTTGGAATTTGAACGAGCACCAACAACAAGCTCGCTACGAAATTGGGTGAGGTAAACCAAGGGTTTGAGCCGAAGTCAGATTTGGTAGCGGAGCAGATGTGGGTAAGCTTATAGAATACAGGTCGATGAGTTTGTAGATATGAAGATCGAGAAACCGGAGTTCTGCGGGTCAGAATAGAAGAAACAAGGAAGACAAAGAAGCAAGGGGGAAAACTATTATTTGGATTTTGCCATTGAAAATTCACACCCTTAAACAAACAAGTTATTTTTAGTAAATCCCACGTTTAAATTCCATAGTATTTAACCCATCCAAAAAAAAACCCTTGACTAAAATTTTCAAATCGTTTAGAACACAATTACAGGTAACAATCTTACCACCAATGAAATAATCAATCAATGGTGGCCTGATCAATGATTATGATCTAATTGATAATTACAAGTCAAATACAAGTGTGCCAAACCAGCACCCAACCAGCTGAGCTACCATTCTAAATGATTTCCTACAACACATCGTTTCCGAATTGGAACCAAGATCGAAACGTTAAAAGCTTCCTTCATATTATATTACATTATATTATATAAAGATAAATTTAATTTACTATTGCCTAAACCCTTTGCTATCATCAGCGGCGGATCCAGAACACAGAAGTGCACTGGGCCGCATTTTATTAAAAAAATAAGAATAGTAAAAAAATATAATGATTATAATTTTTTTACAATGTAAATTGTACACGACGGTATTTTAATTTAGCGAATACATTAATAATGGAGTCCACATCCATACCAATAGTATACACTGTTTCAAATAAAATACTTGAGCAATCGACTAGAAATCCATCGCTCATTTTGTTGCGCAAATCAATTTTCACATGTTTCGTTGTTGAAAAGGTTCTATTCGTATTAGCTGTTGAAACGAGCAGCATCAACACTAGACAAATCAATCTACTAGTCAATTTGCATTGTGTTTCCATCCCTATATCCACCAGCTGCACTAGTAAATTTTCCAAGGTAACAAACCTCATATATGTTTTAGTCTTTTACGTTTTAAACTTTTTAAATTTTTAGGTTTCATTGTTTGTTTAGACGAATAACCTTTGGGGTTAGAATTTATAAGCTAAATTTAGAGTAGTGATTTTGAATATGTTCATCTGAATTATTTTTCTAATTATACCCAATGTTATTTTAAAATAACAACGACCCGAATATCTAAAATCGAAGAATTCATAAGACCTATACTAACTATGGATCCAGAGGAAGGTTGGGCCGGGGCCCGGGGTGGCCACCCCCTGGATCCGCCACTGGCTATCATTTACTATAGTTCTGTATTTATCTCCATCGTGCTAAAATGCGCCTAACTTCATTGGCTCTTTCTTTTTTCATGCTTATGTTTCCTCTTTTTAGTATTTTGCAATTTCTGCATGATTCATAGTTATAATTTTTTGGCATGAGGGATTTGGCCTAGCACATATTCTTCAAAGTGTTCCTCAATTTGCGAGTTCATAATTTCGAATTCTTAAAAATGAAAATGAAAAGCTTTCCTCCACATCCATGAACCATTCCTAGTAAGTATGCAAGTCCGTAATTTCGAATTCCTTTGGAACTCATTAATTCGACAACGATGTCGTTTTATGGGAACATTTCAGCATTATTGTGCCAACAAAAGGATTCGGTGGGCAACTGGGCATAATTTGAAGTTGAATTGAGAGAGTACCACATGTGATTCTCTGCCATCCATTCCATTGCACAGAAATCTTTCGGCAGCACGAAAAGCCCCATGCCTCTGTTTATGGCTGTGGTGGCCATCCTCTCGCGAATCTGAAGATCTCGTAATTGGGTGGTGTTTGAAGGCAAGCAATACAGTGTCGAGGCTCTGATGCGACAGTTTTCGCAATAGTATGAGGAATGGGTGCGCCTCCCAGTTGATAAGCCTGGTTTAATCCCTGCGGTGCCTGAAGCCAACCGGACAGCTCGGGATGGGGTGCCAGAGGTTATATGTGGTTGGGATGGGGCTACCAGAAGGGAATCGCATTCAGCGGGTGGTGTGATCCTTATGACCCCTAATCGAGAGATCCTGATGGCCACTGGGTTCCAGTTTCCCGTCATTGATGACCCTCTGGTGGTGGAATTGCTGGTTTTGCGGGAAGCAACCCTTTGGTGCCTCGGGCATGGGTTCTCCAGTGTACGATTTGAAGGGGACGCCAAGGTGGTTATTGATAAGCTCAGGCAGACAGATAATAGAGACAGCAGGATCGGAACAGTGCTAGAAGAGGCTCAAGATAGGGTGCATAACCATGGGTTATGCACCCATCAATAACCAAATCTGGACCCTTCATTTAGAAAATCCAGATCTAAGGATAGAAAATTAAGGATCATTTTTATGTTTCCTAGTTTTCTTAATCGGCTCATATCTTTTTCGTTTTAACTCGGATTTTAATTTTTTTTGCACAGATGGAACGAGTTCATCGTGCTCTACCAAATGAGAACAATTTTCAATATTTTTTTAGAACAAAAAATTCTGGCCTCTCGGTACCAACTGCATACCATATGGTATCTTCTTCGTTTTTAATTCGTTTTTGAAAAAGTTTGCACAGAAGGGACGAGTACATCATGATATATTGGATCTACAAATTTCCGGGTGAACAAATTATAGGACCAAAAAATACCACACAATACCATACAATACCACCCTGGTATTGTATGGTATCTTCTTCGTTTTTAATTCGTTTTTGAAAACGTTTGCACAGAAGGGACGAGTTCATCATGATCTATTGGATCTACAAATTTCTGGATGAACAAATTACAGGACCAAAAAATACCATACAATACCACCCTGGTACGGTGTGGTATTGTGTGGTATACAATGTTAAAAGTCGTAAATGGCAATTAATATACTTATACTATCATGTATTCAACCATCCTACAATCTTGGTTTGTTCATACCACCATGGTACGTTTTTTAAACCATATGTATGCTTTTATTTCAATACCAGTCAATACCATATGGTATAGACTGGTAAAAAATGGCTCAATTTTTTTTGTTCGAAAAATATATTAAAGTGGATATCATTTCGAAGAGCACAATTAATCTGATCTAACTGTGCAAAAAAAATTAAATTTCGACTTAAAATGAGTGAGAAATCGTCCGTCAAATATTAAAGAGGGGAAAATTAAAGCCTTTCCAGGAGAGAGAGGATGCTGATGTCATGCTGATGTGGGCTGGTTACTCATAATTACTCACCATAAGGTTACTGACCTGATCCGTTCCCGCTGGAAGAGGTGCTTCAGTGTTTTACCTGCAATCCTGGGTTTAGTGTTCGGTTTATAGGTCGGCGCGACAATAGAGTAGCCCATATGGTGGCTAGAAAGACCCTCACTTTGTACCCGGCTAGGAATCGTTATTTTGATTATCAGACCTGGCTGAATCCTAGGGTGAAACTATCTTTTGATCCTTTATAAGATTATCTTTTATAAAATAAAAAAATAAAAAAAATAACGAAAAGCCCCATGCCAGACAGACAAAAACACATGCATTATTGTCGTCTTGGGGCCGTTTAGGACAAAACTGATTTCTCTCATGATTACCCAGATATCATTCCCTTTGTTGGAAAGATCTTCCACAATCATAGTCAGACCACCCAACAAAACAAAAAGGAATGACCGAATAAGCCAATCGAGGGCTGGAATTAATATTGTTAGGCGAGGATGAATAGGGTCTCTGATTTTTTTTTTCTCCATACCATGTTGCGGCATACTGTAAATGTGTGATGCTTTCACACATCAATACATCAATGGTCTAACTTCATAGAACAGTTTTTGGGGCGTCACATGATGTGATATTTGGTAAAAGTGCATTTGGTTAAAGTATATTGGATGAGAGCTACGTTGTGATCAATGTATTTGAAAGCTGATGTTATTTGTTTTCAATTGCATGTTATTATGTGAGACTGTATATGAAAATTAGAGTAATTAGCTGGGTGTTTCATAGCGAAAAATTGTGACGGAAAAGTGAAAAATGATATGTGCAATCGTAGTTGCATTCACATAAATTAAAAGTGCAAAAGAAAATTTTCAATGATATGTAATTGCAAAGTTTCAATGAACCACTCGGCAGAATTTGCAAAATTGCATTTGTTTGCGGTTGCTTAATAAATGATAAGTTTGGTCGAAGAGGACAACGAGATATTTGAGATTATTAATTTATTCATTTATGGGATCTGTTTACTTGGCATTCACATCAGCGAAATATGATGATTCATTGATGATCAATAATGTTGACGATTAATTTTATAAAAATTCACGAATAAGATAAAAGTAGTCTATATAACAAATAATTTAGGTCAAAATGAGTATTTCAAAAATTACGAGTCAAATTAATTCATACGTATAAAGTTTTGGACTTTTAAAGTATTAACTCTAAAAAAGAATAAAGTGATAAAAGTTTCTCAAAAAAGTAAGGGGGAAATATCAAAGAAGAGCTTATCCTGTTCTCCAGATATATTCCATTTCCACCATCATTTCGTTTCTCCAATCACTATTGGCCGACACCATAGATTAGGCTAAGGATATTAATTTATGGGTAAATTAAGAAATTAGCAATTGATTATTGAACTACAATTATTATATACCACTTTAAGTAATAGTGGAGGAACAGCAAGTAGAAGCAGAAGAATTAGAATCTATATGGAGAATAAGTTCATGTAAATAATCTAGGATAATAAGAAAAATTCAAGTTTGATTTAAAAAAATAGCTTACACCATCTAAAGGAAAATTATCAATACAAATTATACAACTATTGTCATTACTTAAATTAGCGTTTTATGTTGGGGTGGTGTGCATTTGAACAATATACCTTCCCATCGAATGCTCTACTACGATATCCAAAACAATCATTCTTAACAATGTGAGTTGTTAGAAATTTTTAAGTATCAAGCTCATACATTTTAAGTTCAGCTAATGATACTTTTAATCCTTGTATACATTATCCCATTTTCATTATCTAGTTAAGAACTTGGGAAAAGTTTTGCTCAATTCTACTATTATTGGAGCGAACATGACAAGTGCAGGGTTGGCTAATACTTTATCAAACAAAAAATAAGTCTACTACTATTGGGTGAATGCAGGCTTTGCTAATATGTCTATGTATGATATTAAACAAAAATGATAAATCTGTCCTTTGTGAAAAGTGGAAGAGCTCTTCGAGCAGAGAAAATGGATGAGATGATTTAGGGATTTTGACCAAGCTAAATTCAACAGAACGAAACGTTTCAACTTCGCCTGTTTTGAATCGGGCTTAAGTGGGCCGAGTGAAGAAATGGCCCACTGACCAAATAGGTCGGAAACTGGGCTTAATTTCAACCCGAGTCCAAACTCAAGTACAGAGAACCAGAGGATGATCTTCTTCCTCTTTGCTGAACCAGAATCGACAGAAAACAGAGGAAGAACGAGCAGGGGAAGCGAAAGCAGAGGAAAGCAGAAAGTAAATGACACAGCAGGATTTTAACGAGGTTCGCCACAGGGCTACTCCTCGTCCCGGAATAGTAGACACTATTCCGAGAGACACTTTTGATTTTCTTGACTCAATAACGAAAAGGAAAAGATCCAAATACAGACTCGAATGTGAAAATCAAAAGCAGAAGAAACAACTACCGAATTCGCGCAGGAATTCGTCACAACCCTTGATATTCTGAACCTATTCCTCAGAATGATCAAGGCCACTGATAATCCCCAACCCTTTGCCCTATTCCACAAATAATCCCAGAACCAGTGACTAAACGAACTCTGTTCTTCCTTTAAATAGTCGTCAAGAAGATAGCCGTTGGACAGAGGCTTTTCGAATCGATCCAGACTTGGAAGGTTTGGGACTTTCCATAGGCAGAAGCTCCCCCTTGATTGCGGCTGCAAATCCCTTGATTTCTCTAATTCAGACCAAGCAATCTCGTGACTTGATATGATTGAAATCTTTCAATTCAACAATCTCCCCCTAAGTTAGAGATTGCTGATTGTCCGATTGAATCCTGCAAAAACATGTATACCTCTTCCGGAGCATAGCAAAGTCTAATAAACACAAGCATATAGTCTAACCAAACGATTAATCAGCTGAAAAACACACCCCCATCAAACCAGTCTAGTCATCTGGCTAAGCAAGCCCAAAAGCAGTTCAGCTGGTAAAACATGTCCAGCAAACCAGTTCAGTCAAGCACAACAGAAAAGCAGATCAAGTTTAGCAAGAAAACATTCAGACCGACTGATTCAAAACTGGAACACTGAAAACTGAATCTTGACATCAGGAAAAAGTTACTCAGAGTAGTATGTATCCCTGAGGTCAGCCAGTACTTCTGCTAGAGAAGGAGTGTCAGAGGAGGAATCCGTAGAAGCATCGCTATCAGAGTCTTCGTCACTGCTAATCCAGTGAACTTCAATGTCAGGGATAGGTTCGACCTCACCTTCTGGCTCAGAAGCTTCCACCGGTCCATCGTCATCAGAGTTGTTGCCAGCACCGTCATTAGTATCACTATCATTATCATCAGTGTCATCATCAGTGTCCTCCCCCTCAACGGCAATCGCAATCTCGTCGAGGATGTCATCAGAAGTGAGATAAACATTGGGAGTAACTATGCGAAAGGGGTCCATGGAGATTCCTCAGAATGATCAAGGCCACTGATAATCCCCAACCCTTTGCCCTATTCCACAAAGAATCCCAGAACCAGTGACTAAACGAACTCTGTTCTTCCTTTAAATAGTCGTCAAGAAGATAGCCGTTGGACAGAGGCTTTTCGAATCGATCCAGACTTGGAAGGTTTGGGACTTTCCATAGGCAGAAGCTCCCCCTTGATTGTGGCTGCAAATCCCTTGATTTCTCTAATTCAGACCAAGCAATCTCGTGACTTGATATGATTGAAATCTTTCAATTCAACATCCTTTGCCCCTCTATTTTGCTCCACTAATCAATCTCACTCCCGTTAATTTCCAAATGACAAGTGCATGTTTAAAAAACGAATATGAGGAGACTAAACACACTTTCTAATATGGATGACAAATGAGTCATATATAAATACAATACAACATGCTTACCCAATAATTACCAATTTCGTTTTATATTTAATCTATATCGATGTAACATAAATAAATAAATAAACGACACGCGATATGATGTTGTGTTTGTCAGTAATCCTGTAAAATTATGTGTTTATCAAAACATTGATCATAGTACAAGGACTAAGGGGGAAAAAGAGTAGAAAATTAACATTGACCCTTTCAAAATCTATGCATTCCTATCCATAAAAAAACAAATCTCTATGCATTCCTAGAATCAATCCATATTTTAAAATGAAAAGTCCCAACTTCAACGATCTGCTCAACCTCAATAGAGTTGGGTTGGTATACATATGCCCCCAGTAGTCGTGTGAAGCAAGAAAATCACAAACTCTCTTTACACAAAAACAATTTAAAACCCCCCAAAACAAGAAAAATGCATAGACTGAGGCTACTTCGTTAGAGTCGTTCAACCTTGTAATTGGTCATCAAGAATCCAACATCACTAAAAATACAAAATATGGACGAAGAAAGATACCGATGAGATTTGTCAATCAAAATAGAAGTGCCTGTCATGGTGGTGGTGGCGGCGGCCGCAATCATCCCACCCAGCACATTGAACGACGGGGTAACAGCTCACGAACAAGCACCTCCCAGCCCAAGACGACGCCGTAACGAACGGACGGCCCAAGCAGCTGATCACCAAACCAACCGGCGACAACAATACTGATGCCGGCCCCCATCTCTTCTTCTCCTTCTGCTTCGCTTCCTCGCCGTCCACGTCATGCCGCCGCCGCCTGCCTCCTCCTCCGGCTTCCTCCGCCGTCGTCGCCGTTTTCCTCCTCAGTCGCAGCTTCATCCAAACAAGATAGCTCTCTCTCTCTCTCTCCCTCTCTCTCAGCTTAGGCCGTGTATTAATTGGTGGTCAGAAACTAAATATGGAGAGTAATGGAAGAGAGAATTAACGCAATAGTTTATGCGACTGACTAAACAAGAATATTCGATGGTGCAGGAGAGGAGAGGGAAGTAAACTATATATTTGGAGATGCGGGCAGCTAACTGTAACCCGGAAGAGAGCATATTATTAGGGTTGTCGATCCACGATTGAATCTCTTCTAACAATTCGAGTTATTGAGATCAACTGGTTCTTGACATGGCATTAGAGCCTTTTGTAACCGAGAGGTCTTGTGTTCGATTCCAATGACCCCCATTTATTAAGCACATGATATTCTTGTCTGCTAATTAAAAATTAGGGAGAAAGACTGACATCATCATTATTATTATTATTATTATTATTATTATTATTATTATTATTATTATTATTCATAGCTTGTGGGTTTGGTTTGAGTTTATGCCTTTCCGGCGACCACTACTATATAGTCATTGATTAGTAATTTAACTAGGATGTGATCTGGTTGGTTGTAATTGGGAAGATGAAATTTGGAGTTGCATGAGATTGAACAAAAACATTACTTTTACCCCCTCATATTTTGGATGTATACTTATACAATTATAAGTTCCACACACAATTTCAATTACTTGGAAATTAAGTAGAATGCATTTCCCAATTCAAAATAATTCTCGCATATTTCCCCCTTTAATGATAGGGTTTGGCAAAGTGGCACTAGACATTTTTTTAATACATCTAATACAATCGTATGCAATTTAATAACATGTTATTTGCCTCAAATAACATCAACCTACAAACACACTCAACTAAACACGTGTTTTTTATATAATTTTTCCAGTTCCGGTTTAAATTAGCCAGTTATTATGACCAAATCGTCTCTATACACAATCTAATTCGAGGATAAATAGTAAAATTCAGAAAAAGTATATGAATCTAGGATGATTACATAATGATATCTTAAGGAATGCCTTGACTTAAGCCACTAGTATACTTGAGCATCCAGTTGGTCCAGAAGGCAACCTAATTTGCAAGGTCGTCAAACCGTGGGTCGACCCGGACCCGGACGAACTAGTGGGTCATGGGTCATTGGGTCACGCGTTTTAGCCCGGTTTAGCCCGGAAATATGGAAAATGTAATTATATTATGTTTATCCTGAATCCAACATAAAAAATGCAACACTACTTCAACTCCAACACACTTAAATAACATCAACTTAAATTCAACATAGTAAAAATTCAACAACACTTAAATTATTCATATAACATCAACTTAAATCCATCATAGTTAAAAATTCAAGGCGGAGGCGGAGTCCGCAGAAACGGCGACGCAACGGCCAACGGGGCTCAGGAAGAGCAACCCGTTGACCCGCTCCAACGGGCTAACCGGCCAGGCCAACCCGGGTTTGACCGGGTTTGACTATTTCCGGGTTGACATGAAAATGCGCCAATAATGCGAGGGTAAAAAGACTTAGGGGTCGCTTGGAGAACGGGATTTATGGCTTGTATTCATTGAATTCGTAGATTTTGTAGAAAGTAATGTTTTTTTGTTGTTTTGTGTATTGTGGATTTTAACTTTAGAGATTTCAAATTTCTAAAATCTACGGATATCAAATATTTCACAATCAAAGATTATATATCTTGACCCGTGAGATTTTTTCTCCTACTTTTTCTCTTTTTATTTATTTATTTATCATGTTAAATATATTTATCAACAAATATTTTAATATTTCTCGAACCACTCTAATTTTTTATTAAAGATAAACATGTTATTTAATATAAATTTTTTATTTTCATTGAATGTTAACAATCACATTTACCAAACAGTATACATTTTAAAATCTATTTTCAACAATCCAAAGAATTAGAATCTTTAAATTGTTGACAATTTATTGATTTAAACAATCTAAACATTTAAATTCATATTCTCCAAACGACCCCTTAATTGTAGTTATGATTTGTCTTATGTTAATTTGTTAGAAGCTGAAAAAGCCTAGAACTTTGAGTAATATATGACAGGGCTCCTTATAAAAAAAAATTAAGACCTCGACATTAGTATTATCTCTTCTACTTTCTATCATTCTATGCGCATGAATTATTTATTGTTTTGCAGAATATGAATATGAACGTGGAGCGGTGGATCCAGGACACAGTAGAGCACTGGGTCGCATTTGAAAAGAAAATTAGATTCCATACAATGTCAATTGTACTTGACCAATTTAGTCAAAAGCACGTTTCTACGCAGAAGCGTAAAATCATAACCTTTTAAGCTTCAAAGCGTCTTTTAACTACAATAGTTATAAAAACTACGATTCTTTATATAAACATTTTTATGACCTACAAATGTAAAAGCGTAAGTTTTTTAACTTTAAATCACAATTCTGACTACATTGTACACGACGATCTTTTAATTTATCGAATTCATCCATACCAATAACATACTCTATCTCAAAGAAAATAGTTAAGCAATCAATGAGAAATTCATCGCTCATTTTGTTGCGTAAATAAATTTTCACATGTTTCATTGCAGAAAATGTTCTCTTCGTAGTAGCTGTTGCAATGAGCTAGTATCAATAGACAAATCAATTCGTATTGTGTATCCATCTCTGTTCCCACTAGCTTCTCTAGTAATTTGCAAGGGAATAAACTTCATATTCTTTACTATGAACCACATGAGTGTCATACTATCATAGATCATTCTTCAAATAATGTATCTAATAGCCTTCAAAAGACTAGAAAGAAATCAGCGCCCGACGAACTAGCGGAGGAATCCGTTTCGGGTCCATTCGTCTCCTCGTTCTAATTTTGTATTTTGGGGGATTAAGGGAATCTTTTGAGTTCTGATAGAGAATTGTGAAATTTAGTTTAGATGTCATTTTTTCATTTCAATGGAACTTTACACTTTTAGTCTGATAGAGAATTGTGAAATTTAGTTTAGATGTCATTTTTTCATTTCAATGGAACTTTACACTTTTAGTCTTCTACGTATAAGACTTTAAGTTTCATTTGTTTATTTTATTATTTTCAAACGAAATTATTGGGGCTAGAATTTTTAGTCTAAATCTAGAGTAGTGGTTTGTATATATTCATCAAGACCATTTTTTAAGTTGCACAAAATCATATTATCAAATAATACTGGAACGACTTTTAAATATTACTGGGCCGAACAACTAAAATCAAAAAATTCATACGTACTATACTAACTCTGGATCGGAGGAGGGCTGGGCAGTGGCCCGGGGTGGCCCAGCCCTAGATCCGCCACTGTGAACGTGCTGAATCGCGTCGGCGGCGGTTGTGGAGGAGGTAGGCGAATTTTTCACAGCTATCTATCATTAATTAATATATAAAAGTTTAACATGGGAGTTATCATTTTTTAGTGGCTCTCACACTCCTCCAAGTACAAGTGTGGAAGTTCCAAATCCTTCTTTTACCTCACTCTCAATTCCACAACCTTTGTAATAATTATTAATTAATATATAAAAGCCTAACACGGGATATATAAAAGCTAAACATGGGAGTTACAATTCATTAGTGGCTCTCACACTCCTCCAAGTGCAAGTGGGGAAGTTCCAAGTCCTTTTTTGACCTCACTCTCCATTCTACAACTTTTGTGTTTAGTTATTGTTTGCTAGGTTTTCCTCTATGGCTTTTTGCACAAATCATCGCCCTCGTGTTTTGTTATTGTTCGCTTGGTTTTCGTTTATGGCTTTTTGCACAATCATCACCTTTGTGTTTAGTTATTGTTCGCTAGATTTTCGTTTATGCTTTTTTTCATAAATCATCGCCTTCGCCCACCATTTTGCAGCCAACTCGAAATACTATCGGCGGAATCCTAAGTTTTTCTCCACCACCGTTTCCCAAGGTCGTTAGTTCGTTACCACGAGTTTTGTATCGGGAACGAGTTTCATCATCTTTAGTAGTTTTTTCTTGCTTTTTTTTCTTTTTGTTGAGCACGATCACAATTGAACCCAAACACATGGGTATCCTAACTTGAACACAAATCATCGCCTTTGCCCACCATTTTGCAACTCACCTTGAAATACTGTCAGTGGAATCCTAATGGGCCGTTTACTTGCCATTCCATTTTTGTTAGCTGCCACAACAGAAAACAAAATTAAAATGAAAACGAAACTGTCATTTCCTGAAAAACAAAACCTGAAAAAACCTTGTTTAGCTGAGAATTTTGGTGAGTCCTGAAGCTGAGTTCTGAAAATGAAACCTGTTTAGTTGCTTCATTCTGTTTTCTGATTCTTGATTATCATACAACCCTAGCCATGATTATAATTTTTAATTCGAATTAAATAGTTTTTAAACTACAAATAAACACAATACAAATACAAAATCTTATATTAATTAAGTACTAGTCATGATTGAATACTGTTTTCTGGTTGTTGTTTACCACAATTTTTGTTCGTTGAATATCATACAACTCTAGTCATGACTTTATATAATTTTTAATACAAATTACATTGTTTTTAAACTATTCACCAACACAATACAAGAACAAACATCGTATACACATCACACTATAGATAAAGGAGCATTCAATTATTTATATGAATAATTAGTCAACGTTACACTGGTTTCATTATGTTACACTAATGCATCATTTTCATTAAATATATAGAACAATTACACATACAACATAAGTGCTAATTTTCGGTGAGTGGGCTTTTGCTTGCAAGTTGCATCCCAATACTATTCCAAAAGCCCACTGTTTTGTTGATATACGATAGGAAAAAAGACAATAAATTAATAATCCCTATCTATCAACCAGAAGCTTCCAGGCCATGGATGCTTTTCTTCAATCTGATTCTTCCGGGGCCGGTATGTCCAGGTCCCCGTTGACTGTTGGTCGCCGAATCTTCCCGGCGCAGAAAATCCTAGCTTCCTCAAAACCAAAGCACTTCTGCATCTCATAGCCTTATTACGTTGTTTGTTGGTAGTTTCTTCCTCTTTCAGTTCAACAATCGCGCAATTAATCGGCGATCTCCATCACCTGGTCAGAGCTTATAATCGCAGTGTTATGGTGGGTGAATCTGTTTCCACTTCACCCAATTAATAGCTTGAAGCTCATTGTTTCAAAACTAGTGTGAAAGGGTCAGTCAATAGGATTCGCGTTCTCCCCCCAGAGCAAATTCGCTGCTGCTTGATTTCGCCGGCTGGAGGAAGGATTCGACGGCGCTGCTTCTCTTCTCAGACGCGGGGCTGGTTGTCGTCGGAGAGGAGATGATGGTTGTGGAGAGGAAGCAGATGGCGAGGGAAGGGAAGATGAAAGTGGGTTGCAGGGGAAGTGGGAAGATGATGTGACGCTTTGGAGGAGAGGGCTGGAGTTTGGCTGGTCGTAGGATTTTTAGTGGGCAAAAGGGGAGCTTTTGGGAAAAGAGCAGAGAAGCAAAAAAAAAATGTCGCTGTGACGAATCGAACTGAAGACCTCACAATGTTCATTTTTCACTGGGAATGGGGGAATAACCCGCCCCAACATTTCCAGGAAACGACTTTTAATGGTTTCCTTCTAGCTTCCTCATTTGTGCCAAATCAATTTTTCCAACGAAAACAAAATCAGAAGTGAACACGTTTCTTGCCGTTTGTTTCTTGATTTTAATTTTCACAACAGAAAACAAAATGAGAAGTGAACGGGGCATTTGTTCCCCACCATCATTTTCCAAGGCCGTTACCACGAGTTTTGTATCGGGACCGATTTTTATCCTCTTTAGTGTTTTTTCTTTCTCTTTTTCCTTTTTGTTGAGCATGATCACAATTGAACCTAATGTCGTTACTGAAAATCGATACCATATCTACTCAATGTTGGCGAGTTTTGTATCAGGACCGAGTTTCGTTCGCTTTAGTAATTTTTTTCTTTCACTTTTCCCTTTTTGTTGAACATGACCACAGTTGAACCCAAATTCATGGGTATCCAACCTAATTCGATCCGGTCAAAGCGACTTAAAACCGACTTTTGCATTTATATTTTTTTTCTTTTGGTTGGGAAGACAATTTAACCCGAATCTAAGGTTTTGACGAGTGTTGTATTGTGAGCGAGCTTTATCAGCTTTTGTAGTTGGCAGGTTGGATCAAGTGTTTATTTGTTGAAAATTTGTTTAAAGCGAGTTGAACACGTGTTGACTAGTTTTATATCGAAAGCAAGTTTTGTACGCTTTAATATTTTTTTATTTCTCATTTTCCTTTTCGTTGAGGATGACAATTGAACTCTGACCATTGTTGACGCGTTTCGTATCGAGAGAGAGTTTTATCCGATTTTGTAAATGATAGGTTGGGTAAATTGTGAATTTGTTAAACCTGGGTCGACCCTATCAAAGCGAGTTGAAAGAAGTGTTGAGAGTTTGAGGTCATGAGCGAGTTTTATCCACTTAAGTATTTTTTTTATCCTTTTCCTTTTGGTTGAGAATGACAATTGAGTCCAAACACATGGGTATACAACCTAATTCCACCCGACCAAAGTGACTTGAACCCGATTTTACAGGTTTTTCGCGGGAGCGAATTTTATCTGTTTTTGTAATTGGCGTGTTGTGTCAGGTGTAATTTGTCCAAAACTCGGTCCAACCAGGTCAAAGCGAGTTGAACCTGGTGTTTACGAGTTTTGAGTCGGTAGCGAGTTTTAGCATTTAGTGTTTTTCATTTTGCTTTTTCCTTTTGTTTGAGAAAAACAATTGAACCCAAATCCATGGGTATCCGAACTAATTTGGCCCGATCAATGCGAGTTGAACCTGCTCAAACCTGCAATCAGTGCAAAAATTTCATAAAGGAGAACAACGATTACCTCAAACCCAAAAAAAAAGCCAATAGAGTACGAATATGTTTGACTCAAATTTTAGAAGTTTTATGTTACAAAAGTTGAAGCCAAGCCAAACACCTCTAATGTTTCGCTTTTTAAAAAAACTGAAATTTTTCGTAACTTAAAAGGCAGAAGCTTCGATTGGAAAATACAAATTGTCCTTACCATATATTATTCTTTTTCTAGAAAACATTATTTTCTTTCATTTATATCATTGTAAAAACTATATTAAAAATAGTATTATTTAATATGAAATAAATCTAACTTGATCCATTTTAAATACTTTTTATTTTTAGAATTGTATTCATATTTTATGTTAGAAAACTTTTTGTCATTTTCCATTACCTCTTATATTAGAAAGTAATTCTGATAGTTTTTCAGCTAAACACTCAATAGTTTTTTTTAATACTTCTTGAAAAGATTCAGAGAAGTTGTTCATTCTGCAAAAGTTACAGCAGGATCAACTACTAGCCATACAAATTGAAACATTAGCGTCATGAAAGAAGTTTAAACATAAGGGTTAATATATTTCTCTGGCCCGAACTTTCCACAAAATTTAACATCCTGGCCAATCCTTTAGGTAATTAACATCGTGGCTTGAACTTATCATATACTTTACTAATTTGGCCAATCCCGACTGTTGACCGTTAGTTCTGATGGTCAAGCCCGTTGACTAACGGTCAACCCCCCACGTCATCGCCAACTAAGCATATTTTAACCTAAAATAATTTGATTTTCCACCTAATCCCATTTAACTTTTCATTTTAACCAAAATAAAAAATAAATAAAAAACACTCTCTCTTAAATCGCAGAACAATTGCCCCACCCCCAAATTCGAATACCCTAATTCCCTCTACTCTCCAGTTCGTCCCCTACCTTTACTCTCCAGTTCGTCCCCGACATCTAGCATCGCCGTGGAAATTGCAGAGGCGGCCGGTTCCTTTGCGTCGTCGACGGCCCGTCTTTTTCGCCGTTGTGCCATATCTATCGCTGCCGTACCATCTCTGACCCCCAAGACATTGAAGCAGGCATGTCGAGGAAAAGCGGAAAATCGCCGGTGAGGGTTCCACATCTTCCTGATCGACTAACACAACCACGATTCGTTGTAAAGTGGACAAAGCTCCGTGCGTGGTGAATATCTCTCGCACAAGCAAAAATCCGGAAAGAATGTTTTACTCTTGTTCATTTTGGAAGGTATGCACTCATTCCTCTTTGCTACCCTATTGAGCAAGTGACGCGCCAGAAGAGATGATGAATTGGTGGGCATTTATCCTCTGCAGGATCATAGTAAGAACTGTCGCTTCTTCCGATGGGTTGATCAGAAACCCGAAACTGAAAGTGACTCGGTTGTCGATGGATTAATGGAGGAGAACTATGAGCTGAAGTTGAAGCTAGGTGATATGGAAGTGTTGGAGGGGTGTGTCCGTAGAGCAGAAAAGAAGGCCAGGACATAGTCCCTAAGCTTGTAAAAATCCTCTTTAAGTGAGCCATAAAGCATACGTCGTGCTTCCAACCTCGCCTTGTAACATGTTTGGTTGGACACAATGACGTTGAATTTTCTCTTCACTTCATCCGCTATCAAGTTAACATTCCATGATTGATTTTCCCTAAAGGCCTCGAGGTATTCAGCTGCTATCCACTTGTAACCAGCCGCACGAATCCGAATCGAACGAGGGCAACTATGGTCTAGTCCAACACCTTTAACAGTGAATGCTTCACGCCCTCTAAACCAACTATCGTAGTCTCGTAGACACTCCACATGCAAGAATGCTCTTCCCTTTGGGCACAAACCGCTTCCTTCCTTGTTTCACTGCTCCTCGCCCATCTGATGTCAGCACCTATCAGAATTGCATTTCGCACAACAGCAACTTTAAACTGATTGGGTGAGTTAAATCGCATGTGTGCTTTAAACTTCAGAGTTTTATGATCACAATTGGGATCATAAAACAGGATACTGTCAACACTTGCAGCACCTTCATCCGGCAATGTTCCCTCTAACATGAGCAGAATATTCTGAGCCCCTGTACTCTGTCTCAATCGATCCTTCAACATTCACTTCTTCATCTACATTCCTTTGAAACCCATTGCCATCCAACTCCACAGTCTTACTAGCCTCGCCAACTCTAACCGTAGCACTATCTTCATCACTTTCAAATAACTGGTACCTCATCTCCAGAACCATCAAACTCGGCTCTAAATGCCTGCCTCTTTCTTCAAATCTCGGCCCTAATTGCATGATACTCCTCGTCTGATGCCTGAGCATCCTCATCTTCATCTAAGCGCACAAATTCTGGAACCCCTGAATTCTGTCCAGAATCATCCGAGCCTTCAAGATCATGCCCATAATTGTCTCCCATCCAACCCAGCTCTCCAAGATCCTTGGTTGCCTCAAAGTAAACCCATACCTCTCCGTTGGCAGCCACTTGAAGCAATCCATTTACAACCTCAATATCCGATAAGATCTTGTTTAACCCGGTAGCCATGTTTTCCCCAGGGGTCAAGTACCGAATTCTCTCAACCGAAAGATACTCCAAATCTTCAATCAAAATCTTTGTCAACACGAAATAGGACAACACATTAGGATGAACTTTCACAAAGTCGACAGTTCTCCCAACGTATCGTGGTATATCTGTCGACATATCCATAGCGCCGTGATGGAAAATAAGATTAATCTTCTCGTCCATCCTAACAAAGACAAACACAAGTCCATTACTTTAATCCTTACTTCACTCACCGAACCCTAAAAAGACAAAGCACGAGTGTAATTTAATCCCAATTTTTCCAACTGAACCTAAAAAGCCATGTCGAAAGGATTACTTTAATACCAAAACCCTAATCTTTGTCTGCATACTGGATTAAATTATAAAAGGAGGAAAGAGAAAGGGATTGCTTACGTTGGTGTTACCAACACGATCTAGGCGTTGTGGTCCCTTGCTTGTGTGGCCCCGTCGTCATCGCTTTCACCCACCTTGTCTCGATCGACAGAAACAAGAACTGGGGGCGACAACGACAACTCGAAATCTTCAAATGGGTTCAGGGAGTGGAAGGGAACTGAATCGGAGTTTGAGGGGGGTACGGAATCGACTGCGGCGGCGACGTTACAAGACCGGCCGCCGTTGTGACTTCATCGAAGGATGGATGGAATGGGTTCGTCGGAGGGGAAGGTTTTCGAAAATAAGTGGCTATGGTGAAATGGTAGGAAATAGAAAGGGTCCCGATAAGGTTTTTATTTATTTTTAATTTTAATTTCGGTTAAAATGAAAAGTTAAATGGGATTATGTGGAAAATCAGATTATTTTAGGTTAAAAGATGCTTAGTTGGTGATGACATGGCGGGTTGACCGTTAGTCAACGAGCTTGACCGTCAGAACTAACGGTCAACAGTCGAGATTGGCCAAATTAGTAAAGTATATGATAAGTTCAGGCCTCGATATTAATTACCTAAAGAATTGGCCAGGATATTAAATTTGTGGAAAGTTCGGGCTAGAGAAATATATTAACCCTAAACATAAATAATCTATACGACGACCCTTCTACCTTATGCAAGTTCATCGACCATATGCTATTGTAAATAACAAACCTATGAAAAGAATGATTAAGAATGAAATAATATTACTTTCACTTTTGAGTCAACATTAAAACTATAACTCTTTAAAATATTTATTTTCCTAATACGCGAAGCGATAGCGAGCTTTTGCTAGTTAATTTTAAATATAAAAGCATATCATTAGAGTTATTATTCATTAGTGGCTCTCACACTCCTCCAAGTGCAAGTGGGAAAATTCCAAGTCCTTCTTTTACCAGACTCTCCATTCTACAATCTTTGTGTTTAGTTATTGTTTGATAGGTTTTTGTCTATGGCTTTTTGCACAAATCATCGTCTTTGGGTTTTGTTATTGTTCATTAGGTTTTCGTCTATAACTTTTTGCACAAATCATCCCCTTTGTGTTTAGTTATTGTTCGCTAGGTTTTTGCCTGTGGCTTTTTGCACAAATCCATTGGTATCCAACCTAATTTGACCTGATCAATGCGAGTTGAACCTCCTCAAACCTGCAATCAGTACAAAAATAATCATAAAGGAGAACCACAATTACCGCAAACTCAAAAAAAGAAAGCCATGCAAATTGAAACATTAGCGTCATCAAAAAAGTTTAAACATAAATAATCTATTCGACGACCCCTCTATTTTATGCAAGTTCATCGACCATATGCTATTGTAAATAATAAACCTATGAAAAGAATGAAATAAGATTACTTTCACTTTTGGGTCAACATTAAAACTATTACTCTTTAAAATATTTATCTTTGTGATATGCGAAGCGATAGCAAGCGTTATTTTGCTAGTCTATATATATGTTATGGGAAATCCTTAGGCGTTTGACTTTCTCGAGTGTCGGCTGTATGTAGGGGTGTACATGGGTCAGGTGGTTCAATTTTAGTCATTTTAATCACCCGACCCATGCACTACGGTTTGGAAAATATCAAACCCAAACCCACCCAAAAAAATTTAAACCCTATGGTTTGTTTCTAATTGGGTTGGGTCGGGTTGGCGATATTTTTAAGTAAAAACCCAACCCAACATAAAATATATAATTATTCTACATTATAAAAATATTTTATAACTAATTAAAATTTCAAACGAATGAAACAAGGTGAAAGGTATCAAAATTCACAAATGTCGTTTACATTTTAATAAAATGTGATTTACTTCAACATATGTCTTGTTTTTTATGATATTTGTTAAAATAGGCTAAAAATGTTATAAACAAACGCATCCATCATATGTTATTCTATTAAAATTGTGCACAAGAAAAAGGATTAGGTGAATCATAACTATATTCAATTTATGTCTAAACTTTAAGTCGAAGAATGCATTAGATTAGCGAGACCATGAGAGAAAAACATGGCGAAATATCTTAATTTTCTCATAAGTATATGACTATATACGACATAAATATTTTTTAGATCCGAACTCATACTAATAGTTGGAACACGGGTTGGGTCGGGTTCTACGGGTTGTGTAATCCAAAATTCAAACCCAACCCAAAAGAGGCGCGTTGTACAAAAGAAAACTCTCACCCAACCCAAAACCTTCGTTTTAGCGATAAATACGGGTGGGCTGGGTCGGGTTGGACGGGTGGGTCGATTTGCGGGTGTGTTTGTTCACCACTAGCTGTATGGATTGGATAGAGCAATAGTACTTCTTTTTGTAAATATAGAACCATATTACTGCTAGATTAGGATTCTAGTACACTAACATGATTTGGATGCCTCTTGAGTCTGATTGTCAATAATGCTTATAACGATGTTAGGTCATTCTAGGCTTGAGATATATATTTTTTTTGTTTATATTTTGGTTAAGTTTGGTCAGCTGTCTTTCTGAATTCTTCTTTACATTTATGTCGTATATAAATGTTGCAGGTGGACCCGTTGGCACATTGGGACACAGTGGACGTAATTAAGTTGCCTTCTTGATTTATGGCCTAAGACGCCATAAACATATATGTGCTGGAGATGTCTGCCTCTACTGCCTTTCCTTCTGCTTTGGACTGGCCTTTCATCGAGCAGGTTCTCAGCTTGAAGTTTGTTGATTCCCCATTAGGTTGTTGTATGTGAACTAAAGCATTGGTGTGGTTGCAGCTTCTATAGATCCTTAGATGACTTTTTCCCCTATGTTCCATGCCAACGGGAGGAGATAGGGTCAGTAATCACTTGGTTATTGACAGGTCAGTAATAAATAGTGATCGTAGATCTAGGAGGCAGGCAATCGTGTGGTTGGGCCGGATGCTAAGTGGAGAAGGGTATTTTTGTCCGTTTATATATTAAATTCTTTATTTTATTTTATTTCGTATTAAATGACTGCATTTTCAAAGAAGGAAAGAGAAACCATTATTTCTCTGCAACTCTCACTTATCTTTCTCTCCCAATCTCTTTTCCAGATCCTCTCTCTTTCTTTTTTACTCTCAATCTCCTTTTGAGATCTAAATCTGCTCCCTTCTCTTCTTCTTTATTTTTTTTTCTCCAGGACGAATAAAAATTGCAACCACTCTCTTTCATTGCATTTATTCTCTTCATCATCTCGTTGGCCTCAATTTCGATCTTTCTCATTTTTCGGTATTTTGGTGTTCTTGATTGCGAAAGAGGAAATGAGAGGCGACATAAGACGACTTTTTTTCTCTACCTCCTTCTGTTTTTTTTTTCTTTTAGATAATATATATTGATATTATAACTCTATACCATATGGTATTCGGTGGTAACGAAACATATATTGATATTACCACATTATACCATATGGTAATGTATGGTATTGTGTGATAACGAATTATATATTGATATTACCACACTATACCATATGGTATTGTATGGTATTGTGTGATATTACCACACTATACCATATGGTATTATGTGGTAACGAAATATATATTGATATTACCACACTATACCACATGGTATTGGGTGGTAACGAAATATATATTGATATTACCACACTATACCATATGGTATTGGGTGATAACGAAATATATATATTGATATTACCACACTATACCATATGGTATTGGGTGGTAACTGGTAACGTAATATATATTGATGTGGCAAATTTTTTCATACCATATGCTATGATCTTATTTAATACCAGTCAATACCATATGGTATAGACTGGTAATAACTGGCAAATTTTTTTATGTCCAAAAAATATCAAAGTGGATATCATTTTGAAGAGCACAATTAATCTGATATAACTGTGCAAAAAAATTAAATTCCGACTTAAAACGAGTGAGAAATCATCTGTTAAAGATTAAGAGAATAAAAATTAAAGGTTTTTCGAGGACAGAGGAGGCGGTGACGTGGTCTGGTCAAAAGTCAGGATTGGCAATAAATAGGGGCAGGGGCAATTTTATTTTACTGTCCTTTCACATTTAATTTAAATAAAAAAAGGGACTGACACGTGGAGACAATGGAAGGGGTTACTGATGGGTCACTGACCCATCAGTTATTGACCCGATCTAGTCCCCATGCCAAGTTCTTATTTGGCTATCTTTGTCTTGGTTTATTTGATTGTTTTCTTGAATGATTGGTCTATATATGGTGTTGGTCTGAACCCTGAAGACTGTTATGTAACAATCAAACTCGTCTAGTACTTCTGCAATTTTGCTGTTAAATTACATGTCTAGTCCTTCGGTTTATAAAAAATTGTCACGCTTGATACTTTAATTTTTTTTCCCCAATGCCTACTCACTTTTACTCATTTTCTGTTTCCCATTACCATTCCATAAATCATATTTGGCAACGGAAACGAGAAAATATGTTTACTTTTCATTCCGTTTTCTGTTTGTTTTCAACTCTCAAAATCGAAAGTGATAAATTCCTGTTGTTTTCAAAAACGACAAAATCATATTTTTAATGTAGTTTTTTCTTCGTATTATGGGGTGAAATATTTGTTTCACTAGTTACCACTGTGGTACCACTTTCGTTTTTAACTCGAATTTTGAAAAAAAAATTCACAGATGGAATGAAATTTTCGTGATTTATTAGATTTACAAATTTATGAAAAAAATACAAGACCAAAATGTACAACAACTTCGTACCACCCTGGTATAGCCTTATAGGAATGGTAACTGGTGGTACACAATGATGAATGTGGTAGAAGACAGTTCTTATATTCCGATTATCATGTTATCATCCATTATACACTCAGTTATGTTCATACCACCATGGTACACTTCAGTATCATATGGTATGATTTTATGTAGTACCAAACATTACCACCATGACGTAGACTAGTACTAAATAGGAGTGATAATCGGTTGGTGGTTATCCAGTTAAACCGATCACCGAACCAAAATCGATGGTGATTCACCGAAATCGACAACCAAAAAATGCTGGGGGGTGTCGGTGTCAGTTGGGGATTTTTGGCAAATTTGATTACTCAACATCGTCGGTGGTTAACCGATAATAGCTCAGTCCACCGTAAATAACCGCCTGATATTCAGAACCTCGTCGCCACCGCCCCTCTGCCCTTGCCCGCCACCACAACTAGAAATTTGCTCTGCCCCCAACCCCCATCCAGATGCTTCTCAACCCTCAACAAGATCTAACCGCCCCACCGCATCCTTCCAATCTCGACCTCGCCTTCTCGATCTCCCAAATCAGACCTTGACGCCCCAACCAGACAAGCGCCACCAAACAATATTTGTAATATCCCGTTTCGGCAAAACCCATATTTCGATCACTAGAAAGTTCGCGATTTAAAATCGAGCGTTTTAATAGTAATTTGACGAAAATCGAATTATCGATCGATCGAATAAGTATACGTATTAATTATATACATTATATAATATAATATTATATATATATAAAAGCGGTCGGCATATATACATTACCCGTCCATTTCCATTTCCATCCCCATCCCATTCCATTTCTTCTTCTTTCTTTTCCGGCCGAGAGAAACCGAGAAGCAGAGGGCGTGTAGGGGAGGGAACAGAAAAATTCTCCGAGCTCAATTCCTGAGCTCTAGTGATCCAAAAATCCCGTAAGTAATGTCTAATTCATCCATACATTGTGATTTATCGATTTAGAGCTTTAAAACGAGTTTTTGGTTCAGGAATTTCTTGAATTCCCGATAAGCCAAATTAGGGTTTCGGACTATCCGAAAGCCGGATTGAGCCCAAATTTCATATACGAGCTTCCTGCATCTAGGTAATCAATCCTCTAGTTCTAATCCCTGAATTTCGGCAATTATTTAGGTCGGAGCCGGGATCGCTGAATTTAGCTCTGGCCAGGGTTTGATGTGTTTTTATCGAGAATTTGACCCGGAGCCTAGAACTAATATTGACGGGGATACTACAGGGGATATTAAGACGGTCTCGGATTTTAATTCGGGGTTCGTTCGTGAAATTGACATTTTAGTACGGAAGGTTAAACCGGTGTTTGAACGACCAGAACTGGTGAGGGAATAGCACGGCATACCGGGTTTATCGTATCACGATAATTATATTGATGCTTAGAATTGACCTAGGTGAACTAGAATGGTATGATTAGGGGTGTTTGGACTTTTGTGCTATATGATGAACCCTGGACTGATGTATGATATTATTGACTTGCCCTAATCGATATGGACGTTGTTTATGTGGATGATTGCATACATGTTGCCATTTGTGGCTTAACTGTTGATATGACTTCATGGTTGTTCGATAAGGTGTTTTGACATGGTGTGATATTATGGTTGTATTTGGATCCATAAGTGGGGGAATAAACTTCCCAGGGTGATATTATGATGTTTAAGGAGGATGACTTGCACGAGGGTTCATTCCGAGGAA